GTGTCAGAACCCAGCTAACAAGAACTAAGGGGGGACAGGTGTAGAGACACATAAACGATAATACGTTAAGTACATGTTTAAAAAGTCACTAACAGCAGCACTTTTGGGAGGCCGAGATGGTGGTAGAGGTCAGGAGATCAGACCTCCTGGTAACACGGGTGAAACCCTCTTACTAAAAATAAAAAAACTAGCGGGCGAGGTGGCGGGCGCTGTGTCCAGCTACTCGTGGCTGAGGCAGGAGATTGCGTGGAACCCGGGAGCGGAGTTGCAGTGAGCAAGATCGGCCCTGCACTCCGCCTGGGGACGAGGAGACTCCAATCTCAAAAGAAAAAACAAAAGTCACTAAACAACAAAAGCAGCTACAAGGCAGAAAAGTAAGCACAAAACAGCATCCTGAGTAAGAAAGGTTATGATTTCCATGATTCCACAATTAACATATGGGCATGGTTGTGTATCCCTAAAATCGAAAATTTATTGTATTTTATTATTTATTTATTATTTTATTATTTTATTCTTTTTTTTGAGCGGAGTCTCGCCTCATCGCCAGGCTGGAGGGCAGTGGCGCGATCTGGGTTAACACCTCTCCCACTCTTTGAAGGTTGGCTTTTTATTGGGGTATTCTTTCCACACTGAATTACTCTTCATTTCCTGCTTTGGCTCAGCCTAAAAATGAGTCTAAACTGAAAGCTTATAGTCTTCTCAGGTCTTTTCTGATTAGACATCTTGCCCTGGTATACACATAACCTTTTACATTCCTCAGTGTGAACAAACTTTTTCAATGTCATAAATTTTAAAGACTCTTTCTCCCTAATTTTTCCTCTCAAGCTTTTGGCATGAAGATTTTTAAGCTCAAATTGCAATCTTTTGCAACAAGAAGTAGTGGGTTCTTCATTTACCTGTTAAAGTTTTCAAGGATTAACCTCTATGTACCCACATTTCTGCACTAAGAGAGTTCTCAGTTAGGTGAAACAAAGGCAAGTATTTGCATCAGTCTTCCAGGTAGCTGCCCAACAGGTCAAAACAAACTAACACAATGCTTTAAGCACAAGATCAACTTTGATACATATGAAATTAGGGACAAGGGTGCCATAGTGGAAACATGGCTGCTATCTTCAAAACCACTACTGAGCTAGGAGGGAATTAGGATTAAGACAAGTATCTCAAAGCTCTACTACTGTTTTAAAGTTGACTTCATGATTTACTGTTCATTTGGTTGCTACAAATCTTTGACTTTTTCCTAGAGTTCTTAAAAAAAAAAAACTCCTCTTTTTATTTTTCTTTTGGAGATGGGGTCTATGTCTATTTGTCTCATGATGGAATGCAGTGGCTACTCACAAGCATGAACACAGCCCACTACAACCTTGAACTCCTGGCCTCAAGTGATCTTCCTACCTCAGTCTCCAGAGTAACTGACACTACAGGCACATTTCATCGTGCCTGGCCAAAAAAGGAGCTTTTGTTCACTTTTCCTGTGTTTGTAGAGAAACAGTCCCATTTTTGCTAATATCATCTGAAAGGTACTAATACAATGTAATTATTAATAGTAGGATGAATACTACATCAGAAAAACACCAATAAAATCTCTAATGCCTGTATGTGTGTGCATTATCACATTTTTTATTATTCTTTTATAATATTTTTCCTATGAAGTATTTAGCCTGGATATATTTCATTAGGATAACTCTATCATTCAAAGAAAAATAAATAGGAAGCAATATTACATGATTGAAATTGATTATAAAAAAAGTTTATAATCTCCAGTTTGTACATAAGCATGAGAGTGTTCAACATAAAAGAAAATTACCTTTTTACGAACGTTAATTTAGTTTTACATTTGATGTCAAAATTAGATGATTAAACTATAAGAAAATATTACGTTTCCTTTGGGTATATATATCCAGAAGAGGGATTTCTGTCTCCACCAATCTACATTTCCAACATTGTACAAAGATTTCCTTTTCTACACACCTTTGTCAATTCTCTTGTTTTTCTGACAGTAACAATTCTAGTGAGTGTAGGGTGATATCTCATAGTGATTTTTATTTTGGTTTTCCTGATTAGTGATAGTGAGCTCTTTTTCATACATTTGTTGGCCACTTTTGTGTCTTCTCTGAATATATACACACAGGAAACACAATTTACACCTCGTCAAAATGCTTGCACTCTCATTTTGATGGCAGCATCATTCACAATGCCCGAGGTATGAAACCAATGTAAATGAGCATTGATGAATGAATTGATAAAGAAACTGTAGAGTGTATGTGTTTTCTGTATGTATTACATAGTATATGTATATAGTATGTATTATATAATTCTGTATTAATATAATATAGTTATGGTTGTATATAATATTGAATATTATATGTCAAATATATATATCACATAATTATATGTATTTAAATATAATTATATGTGTGTACATATATATCTTTTTCAGCTTTAAATATGAAGTATTTTTCAATCCTGCCATTTGCAGAAGTATCACAATAGCCAAGGTATGGAAACAACTTGTTTCTGTTGATAGATAAATGGGTAAATGGATAATGGAGTATTATCTGGCCTTTAGAAGGGAGTTCTTGCTATTTGTCACAATATGAATGAATATGGAAGGCATTATGCTGAGCAAAATAAGCCAGATGCAGAAATAAAAATCGCTTATTCTCTCATTTTTTATGAAATATTTGAAAAAAAAAAAGTCAAATATACAGAGATAATACAACAGTGGTTATCAGGAGTTGGAAGGAGGAAATGGGGAGATATAAATCAAAGGATACAATGTAGCTAGTATGTAGCATATACAAATCTAGAAATGGAAACTAAAACGTGAGGACTGTAATTATTAATATAATATTGCATCTGAAATTTTTGCAAATGAGTATAGTTGGTCTTGCCACACAAAAAATAGGTAGCTCTATGAGCTTCTGAAACCTTAATTTGCTTTCTTGTAGTGAACATTGTGCTATCTATATGTATCCCATAGCTTCATGTTGTATACTTTAAATAAGCATAATGAATTAATGATAATGAGAAAATAAATTACTTATATAGCAAAAAAAAAAAAAAAAGTAACAGAGGGTATGTTTTCTTACCAGCTAAGAAATTCCCTAATAGTCATGGGAAGCCCCACTTTTGTGTTTTTTGTTTGTTTGTTTGTTTGTTTGTTTGTTTTGTGCATCTCTCCAAGCTTATCTTCAGGGCTCAGCAACATATTTCTCGCAATTTTCCCAAGATAGCTAGACTCTTGAAAAAACTTGAAGGATATGGAGTTTAATAACATATGGTCTTAATCATTGAGGAGATTCAAATGTAATAGGGCATAAAATGTAAATAGATATATTTTAATATAGTATAGTAATGAGACAGATACATGCACAGTATTCTTTGGGAACAAATATCACCACCTGACATAGCTTGGTGTTTAAAAAATGCTGATTGATGAATAGATAGATCAATGGATAGATGGATGGATGGATAGATAGATAGATAGATTAATGAAGTATGTAAGGCAAAGGAATTATCACTGGGGATAAACAAAAGTGAAACATCGCTGTGACTATAATGAGAAATAACAGAGATGCCTGTCAACCAGAATCTCTATATAGCAATATTACTTATTATCAGAGAAAAATTCAGAACTATTGTTTATGTATTTTTTAAATTAACTTCATTTATTACTTGCAGTAGAAACTCAGAGTTTTAATTATTAGAGAAGTGAGAACTAAAACATAAATGTCAACGTCTGCTTTACTAATACAATGTTCTCACGAGAGCTGTGGACAAACATAACTTTCTTGTCAGGAATTTTGAGATACTTATGTCAATCGTGTGTCTGAGAAGCCATAATTGAAAAAGTTTTCCCCTTTTCTTTTTGGATTTTACTTTTGAGATCTTTGGTGTAATCTTACTTTGTTTTCCCATTTATGTTGTTGAAAATGCTAGAGACTGAAAAACAATATGAAATGACTGAATATAGGAAGAAAATTAGATATGTAAGGGAAAACAAAAACAACTTTATCAACCATAGTTCTTAAAATAACTTCTAATGTTAAAAAATACTTGTCTTACTTTGGGTCGTTTTAACAAAGTACCTTGGACTAGGAGGCAAATACAAAAGAGAAATGTGTTTCTCAAAGTTAGGGATACAGGAAGTACAAGATCAAGGTGTTCGCATAGATGTGTTCTACTGAGGACCTTCTTCCAGGTTGCAGACTGTTGCTGTCTTCTCCTTATATTCCTTATATACTCATATGGCATTAAAACGGTAAGAGATTTCTCTAAAGTTGTTTTTATAAGGACAATAATACCATTTCTGAGGGTTCCACCTTCATGACCCAATCAGCTCCCAAAAGTCCCACCTCCTAATGCCATCCCATTGAGGGTTAGAAATTCAACATATGAATTTGGTAGGGAAAGAGGGAGGCATAAAAATATTCAGTTTATAACACTGAACTTAGAATTATTTCTGGTGCTTTTCATTCGATATCATGCAGATATTTTATGTTCTGAGCTACACATTTCAATATAAAAAATACATGGTTCTCCCTTTCATGAGAAATAATTGAATTTTACATACACAAATCCTTTTTGTTACATGACTGACTAAATTGGAGAGCACACAATGGAAAAACAATTTCTATATCTCTATATCACAACTGAGGGCAATTCTTACATTACATGCAAACATTGATTTAATAAATCTAATTGCAATATTTGGGTTATATCCACATTATTTATATAAATTCTGACTGGGAGAAAAATGTAGAATGCATTCTAAACTACATAGTGTATATGATCCCAAGCCAATCCTCAAATCTTATCAGTTCTTCAGTTCTCATCTCAATTCTATCTTCCTCAGCTTTTCACAGTTATTCCTGGGCATCTGTATCCTTCTCTTTTTCTATTCCATAGATAGCATTTTACAAATATCAATACTATGAATTTGGAAATCTGATATTTTCCATCTGTCACATTTTTATGTACTAGCATGTGTTCTCAAGTTGTTTCCTGCTCAATCCATTTCTAAAGTTGTTAACTTCTGTATCAGTCATGATTCTTTCAACTACCTGGAACAGAAAAAAAAGTTATCTTAAAATCTAAGTATATTTTGTCTCAAAAAAGAGAAGATCTACCGTGAAAATGGGCTGTGTGACTGGTCTGTGTTGCAGTTAAGTTGCATGTTTAGAAATGTGAGTTATTTTCATCCTTTCATTCTGACAACCACAATATTGGCTTTCTGCTAAATTTCTGTCTTCTTGTAATTGTTGGATATTCACCAGAAATGTACAGGCCAAAATTTCTCTTTCAAATTTTTAAAGACTGTTTATTCATTATTTTGACATTGAGGAAATATTTCTCAGATCTCATTTACAAGGCCAGAGTACGTATCTATTACTGAACTAGCCTCTGCTAAAAACTGAATTACATTAGGCTTACATTCTCCACCACAGCAAAAAATAAAAACAACAACAAAAAAGAAAACCTATGGAGGGGAGACAGGAAGTCATCAGGACTATTTCCTAAGACAAAGGGTCACATGACCCTGCTAAGACAGGAAACAGTAAACAACAGGTCACAAAATCCCACTGATAACAGAGGATACAGTAAAGAAACCGGCATAAACCAGCTACAATCAAGAAGGCAGGAAAAATGACCTTCACCGCTCCTTTTACATTGATTATAATCCACTAGCATGCTAAAAAACATTCCTGCCAGTGCCGTGACAATTTACAAATGCCACAGTAACATCCTGAAGTTACCCTATGTGGTCTGGAGAGGGGAGAAACCCTGGTCCTTAAGCCTCCCTCTCCACCCCCGCTTTCTCAGAAAATTCATGAATAATGTACCCCTTGTTTAGCACATAATGAAGAAATAGTCATAAACTAGCCAGCTAGCATCAGGCCATCAGCGCTACTCTGCCTATGGGGTAGCATTGCTCTGCCTATTAAGCAGCCATCCTTTTATTTCCTCACTTTTTAATAAACTTGCTTTCGCTTTACTATGTGGGCTCAATTTTGAATTCTTTCCTGCTGGGAGCCAATAACCCATGTGGCTTCCTGGGCTGAGCCTCGATTTTGGGTTCACCTGTAACAAAAGGACATTAAATAATCTTGATTGATTTACATTAATCAATACATTGATCAAAGCCCAACCAGAAAAGAGATTATCTTAAACCATTTTTTGTTTGTTTGTTTTAACTGCTCACAAAGTAATCTAATGGTTTGAATCTAGGTAATTAGCAATGCTCATTTTCACTGCCTCAAAACCCAGATCTGGGGAATGTGGCATCTTGAGCTGCCTCCAAGCTTAATACTTTCTAATTTCTGAGATAAGCAATGTATTGCTCAGATGGAGCGTCTGCTTCGTATTATTTCCTAAGATATAGCATTAGATATAAAATTATTTCAGCATAATATCAGTGACATAAATTTGTGGAAATTAGAATGTTATGTATTTATTTAAACTGGGGTGATAATCATATTAGAAATACAGAATGCCATCATGTATATTGTAGTAGAGTGCATGGTACAATAAATTAGAGAAGACATACTCTCTCATCTTTTTTAATAAAAATTATACAAACTGAGCTTAGAAGAGAAATTGCTTTTTTGGAAAAATAATATAATTAACTTGAGAATATATCTTTAATTAGAGAAAAACTGGACATAAAAGATTAACAAAAATTAATACTCTTACTTTAATCTGCACTTGTTATATTAATAATATTAAAATATTTTCATATATTAGAATATTTAACATTATTAAAAGTAATGAAATAATAGAAAATAGTTCCTCTATAGCTAATTATATTATCTTCCTGATTATTTACTAATTGAAGATCTTTATGGTTCCTTATCTTCTCCTTACTACTAGGGAATGGTCTTGTATGAGCCTGTTGGATTAGTTGGATGATAGTGATCAGTGGTGACGGCGAAACTTAAGCATTTTGTATGCAGAAATAATGAAGAACCAAAAAGGGAAGAAAGAAAGAAAGAAAAAAAAAAACTATGTTAACCTGAAAGTTCAGAATTCCAGAGAACTGCATAAGAGTTTATTCATCAATACAAAGTATTTTATAATCACTTCCACATCTATGGTTTGAAATTTCAAGAATGAGGAGTTAAGTAGCATTTTTACATGGGAAATTGTTACTCATATACTAATAAAATTAGTGAATTTGATCCAGTCATAACCTTCTTTTGATGGGATCATAGCTAAGTCCATATGGATGCTGATTAATGCACTGTTTGTTAGAGAGATGCATGGAGTCAACTCGCTGGGTAAATTTTGTGAACATTACTCGGAAATAGAAGGTAATTTGCACTTAGGTGGCTTTCAGCATGTTGTCTGACAACAATTTTCCAATAGCTAAGAAAAACAAACCACTTTTATTTAAAATTGTACGTAGTCAGAAATAAAAGGGATGACTTGAAGATTGTCTGAAGAAGGGTAAAATATTGCTAGAAATAAGAAAAATAGAAAATATTCAATGGAAAAAAATCTTCTAAACTCTATACAAAAGACAGTTGAATATTGTCTTATTGTTTTTTTTAAATTAAGGACCTTGAAAATTTATTTGTATATGAAAACTTATGTATGTTTCTCTAAAGAAACAATAGTTTGCTTTAGTGTTACTAAAAATTAATGAAACAATAATAAAAATAAAACATTCTATTTTAAAGTTTAACACAAGTCATATTCTCTAACCAAAATTACCTTTTCTAAGTCAACATAAGAAATTTTCATTCTAAATAAGATGGAGTAAATAAATTATATTTTACCTCTCCCTCTAATCAAACACACACACACTAACCTCTAGACCAGACCCCTAGTCACATTGAAGAAGATGCCAAAAGGTAGAGCAAAGAAGGTGGACTAGGCAAACCTAGGCCTTGCTTGAACCTCAAGGGGCAAGCCAATAGTTTGTTCCCTGACATTTTTTTTTCACCTCCCTAAATATTTAGCATGAGCACCAGAGAAATCCACAACCCAGGAACTTCAACAGACACAAATAAAAAATAGTCCTGGGTGAGGCCTGCTTTCCCTAGCCAAAAGATCAAGGAAAGAGGTGAAGCAACAGTTGGGCAACCTTTTATTCACACTGACTAGTTTTCAAGGTGAATACCACTAAAATACCCACGTCTTTTTTCCCATAGTAATAGATGCTGCTGTGGCACAGCAAGTCAGTGAAACCGTCTTGCAACTTCCCTCCCACCTAAACAGCAGTGAGAGAGTGTCCATTCTCAACAGAGCTTGTGGATAGAGCTCTGACTGTGGTCACCACTTTTTCAGTAAAGAGGAAGTGTCCTTTTTCTTGTGGAGACCATTAACAGAGCTCTGACTCAGCACCCCAAAACTCAGGATAACCTTAATTCTGATGTGAAGAGACAAAAATAGTCAGCAATATCAATACACCACAGAGGTTGAAATTATCTGACAAATATTTCACAACGATCATAAGAAAAATGGACAAATAATAAAAGATAGCCCTTGAAACATATTCAGACACATAAAATACTAAAAAATAAATATAATAGAAAGAAAAATGAAATGAAAAATTTTAAACTGAAAAATACAATAACCAAAATAAAAATTTCATGGAAAAATTTAATAGTAGAAGAGCAATAACAGGGAAAATAATCAATAAAATTTAATATAAATGAAAAGAAAATTATGCAATCTAAAAGTAATATAGAAAAAATACATTTTAAAAATAAACTGATACCAGAGGCTTATGAAACCATAACAAAAGATCTGAAATTTATGTTTTCGAAGTTTCAGAAGAAGAAACAAAAATATCAGGCTGAAAATATATTTAAAGAAATAATGACTAAAGTCTTTTCAGTTTTGATGAAAACAATTAACCCACATTCAAAAAGCTCAGTGAACACCCAGCAGAGTACATCCAAAGAAATCTACATCTAGAAACATCATAGTCAAAACTCTGAAAACTAAATTCAAATATAAAGCTTAAAATCTTCTGGACTGTAATGGCACATTACATGTAGTGGAGCTAAGATTCAAATAAAAAGTGGCAGATTGTGTGTACTTTGTTTAACTGCTGGAATTCTGGAATTCTGTGTAAGTCTCCATGATTGTTCACACAGCTAGAAAGTCCCTTCGTGATCAGCCCTCTATAAAAACCTCAGATCCTGACCCTCAAGCACATTTCCCTCAAAGGCCCATTTCATATATGTTCCTGTAGTTCACCACTAGAATGAAAATTGCAATCTGTGTGATCTCATGGGGAAGAATTTAGAAGTCTGCACTTGATTTCTTTGGACTACAACTAATGTAGATCTTCTCTTGCTGGTGTTCTGTTTCCGTTATTATAATAAACCTTAGTTTTGAGTAAAATTTGTCAATAAGCTAGTGAGATTTTCTCGCAGAAAAATCTGAACCGGAAGGTGGTCATGTAAGTCTCAGAATACATGCAAAGAATGATTAAAATAAACAAAAAATATTTATATTAGTATTAGATAAAGTAGACTTTAGAGAAAAGTAAACTATCGTAGACAGTGAAGTTATTTCATACAGATAAAATTGTCCATTAACTAAGAAAATGTAACTAAATATTACTTATCTATATCTTAATCTATATCTATATCTAGCTATAAACAAAGCAAATGAGTTTCAAAACTGGCAGAACTAAGTAGAAAGAGAAAATTACAATTAGAATCAGCGATGACAACACTCCTTTCTCAGAAATTAATAGATCCAATAGACAAAATGCTAGAGAGAGAACTAAACAATAGTATCAACCACTGAGATCTAGTTGACCTTTAAAAAATGTTCCAAACAAGAAAAGTATAATATACATATTTTCAACTATATATGGAGTATTCAACAACCATAAAACAAAATTAAGAAATTTAAGATAAGAAAATTATGCAAGATGTGTTCTTAGACTGTATTAGAAAGACACTAAAACAGTAACAGAACAGTAAAAAAACCCTGCAAATTACTATACTTTAAAAAAAAAACTAATAAATAATCCGTGAATCCAAGAGAATAATTAAGAAATCTACATGCAGCATGCACACACACACACACACACACACACACA